AAGATTACGAGAGAAACATAATAAAGAGGTAAGGTCGTTACTGTGGCTAGCAGTAAATTCTGCACACTCTTACTCTCGCTAGAAAGGCAACTGACAAGAAATTATGTAACACACGACATATTAGATGCATAATATTACCGCAAATTGATCAGAAGAGAAGATAAAGACCAGGCTGCGGCGAGTGGTTCAGTTACATCGCGAGAGCCGGGAAGTGAAACGGTTCGCGCTTCTGAAGGCTCGTTCATAAGGAAGCCGCTTTCGTCGTGGACAATGTCGTTCGCGGAATAGATGACGATTTTTCAGGGCGGGCCCCGCACCGCGTTTATTGCCGCTATTAAAAATCTAATTAAAACGGAGCGGTATTTACGAGCTCTCGTAAACCTCGACTCGAGAGGATATCGAACCCTTATATAAAGTAAGAAGAGGCGCAAAAAGAGATGTAACGTCGCGTTGTTACGCTGGGTTGACGAACGGGCTGCATTTTCAGGGGTACGAATTGTTCTCGATAGCCATCGATGCAAACTGCACGGTATTATTATCGTACTTTACGACGCCTGTCTAGTACTTCAGTCGATTGTTGGCAGAACAGAACGTATTACGGGTCTAACATTATTCATGCAACCATCGTGACAATGTCGCAATGATCATACTGTTATAGTCTTGCGATTATCCGTCTTTATAAGACGGCGATCTCGAATCACACGTCTCGGCGCCAAAGTTGCCAGCCGTAATTTCTCTTGAGAACGAACAGATTGAACGAATGTATCAAGTGATCAGATATATTTCTTAAATTACACGATAATTACGTCCGTGAAATTCTAATTTATTTACCAGAAGCGTGTGCGTTTTCAATATAATTTTATCTAATCTCTTGGGCAAGTTTTTTGCTTAACCCTTTGAAGCATGGTGGTAACCCTTTACTTTTTGGCCACTTAATTTCTAGTTAACGCATTTAGGTCGAGTTTTTGCATTTTTAAAAAATATCTTAGCAATAAAAGAACATAAAAAAGTTGAGTAGTCTCGAATATTTATTGTAAAAGTTTTATAAATAAACAAATATGAAAGAAACAGCAATTTTTCCGGAAAAGTTTATTATTGACCAAGTTTTTTAAGATTATTTCTTGAAAACTTTGTACAAAGGGGTTTGCCGGGTCGCTCATTAAGAATCCGATGTCAGATTTTCAAGATTCAAAATGGCCCACCCAAAATGGCGGCTGCAGAGTACGTGATTTTTTAAGTTTTCAAGCTTTTCAGCATTTTCGTTTGATCACGGTATTTAGGGACTCATCACGTCCGTCTCGTTAGCGCTGGGTAGTGCCAAGAATGAGTAAATTCTAAGAAACTATCAAATTTCAATTTCGCATCCGCCATTTCGCGCGCGCTATTCTTCATATTCTATAAGAATTTTCAACTGGAATTTAAATTCCATGGGTCCTAATTATATCTAAATACTGTTTCTCAGCATAGTTGAATTTCATCTTGAATCCGCCATTTTGAATTATGAAAATCTGATAACGAATTCGTAATCTGCGACCCCAAAGACCTTTGTATACGAAGTTTCACAAGGAATGGTTCAATAGAAAAATGTATGCTTCAAAGGGTTCACTATAATAAATTCTCGTTCTCCGAGATATCGAGTAAGATGAACGAAATCTTAGAGATCGTCTCCTCTCGCAATAAATACAACAGGAATGGTCTTCCGATTGTACGTGTGCCATAAATCAGATCACGAACTCGCCATAGCGAGCATTCCGTTGACAACAGCGCGGCGAGACAACAACCGAGGCCACGGGATCCCACATTGAATTTGAAGCAACCCTTCGCTGAAGAAGTCGCGAACCATTTTCGGACATTGAGCAAACTCCAACGCTGTTACCATCTAGGGAAGTGTTAATTCGTGAGACGAATGCCATTATTTCCAAATCTCGTCCTCGTAGTATATGCGAAACCACTCGTGGGAATGTTTATCCACGCAGCTCGGGGCTTATCGTAAAGATTAATATTACTGCGAGTAATTGTAATTTTCGCAATGTACAGCTTATTTTTTCGAATAATAATGAAAAAATGAACAAGCCACAGGTTGAAATAGCTACAGAAACAAATCGATTTCAGCGAGAAGCCGTTTATCGAAGACTTTAATTTAAGAAACTGTAGGAGGTTTAAGTGCGAGACTGTGTCGATGAAAGCACACTACAATACGTCGATCTCGTAATATTAAAATATGCGCGGGCACGGTGGGCAGACCGGCTACGATACCATCTAAGGTATAGCTCAGGCGTTAGCTCGTGGAGCTGCTTCCGAACCTTTCTTCGTCTACCAACCGAAACGGCCTGCATCACGTTACTTGGCGTATTCACGGTCCGGATTAGGTTAAACGATGATCTTGAATGATGTCTATTATATTTCGAATGCGTTAGTCTTAATCTCATAGCTTTAGCATATTTGCCAATTTTCCACTCTTTGATTTTCTTTTTCTTCGTTAATCTTGTGTCGCAACGTATGTTACAAACACGTTAGAGACCTGATCATGTTTGATCATGTTACAATCATAAACCCAATGCCCGTTTCTGCCAACGCACTTTAACTTTAATCTCGGTTCAACTTATTTATATCTTTTTCTAGTTTTGTGAAGTAGAATAAGATATAAAGAAGTAAGTTAATCTGCATTGGTCGACAAACGGGCATAAGGCGAATTACTTTCCTTCGTGGAAAAATGTAAAGGTATTACATTACATTATTATCTCGAATAGAGATATGAAATCGCCTGTTACCGAATTGCAAGAAAGGACGATGAAAAGAACAATTACAATAAAAAGTTTAATTGGCTAATTAAACCGCACATAAACTTTGCAAAGTTGACTGTTTTTGCGGATATAGATGGGGATTCCTTAATATTCGTGCCGCTCTCGCGTAGACCCTCGTAAAGGATTTTTCAGACGGTGGAAGTCGCATCGGCAACAAGTAACATGCTCTTCGACTTTACCCCGCGGAATTGTCTTCCCTTTTAGCGGCACAAACTTTTTGCGGGCTCGTCACCGAGATGCAAGGTACCGCGCATCTCTGCCTAGTTTGGACACGCTAACCTTGCCGCATACAAATTTTTCTTACTCCATTTGTTGGCCTTTTCGAGCTCGCCCTTTCTTTCACTCAGCGTTCTTCTATCTCGCGTTCCTCCCTTCAGCAAGTAATTCCGTACTAATGGATCACCATCACCTGCCTGTCTATTAAATTTCGTCGTTTCGGAATTATTATTGGAGAGAATATTATCTTCACATGTATACCTTTCGATACGTGCCTTTGCATTCGGATATCGCTGTGTTACATTTGATTGATGGCAATTAAATATTCACGGTCGCACAATCGAGAAATCCGGTTTGGATACACGAGTAATTCCACTAATCTTTCGATGTTCAACTTGTAGGCGACACCTCGAAATACATGAAACCAATTCAATAATCGGTAACCCGGAGATTCCAGTTGCTGATTCCTCCGCGACCGCAGTCACAGATTTGTTTGCATCTGAGAACGTTTAACTGAAACCTTGTTTCACGTGCGTGTTACATTACGTTTACATTGTTGAATAGAAAATTATAATATTGACGTTATGTAACTGTTGCTTGGTACGTTCACTGGATTAGTATTTTCTCTGTTCGATGTTGTCGTACAGTACATGAAAATTTTAAGGTTGATATTTTTATTTCACTCTAGACTCGCATTGTGTCTGTAATACAGTCTTCTTCTAAAGAATGTTGTCAATGAGTACTGCTAACAAAATTTAATTAAGTTTTGAGCTAAACGAAAGTTCTTTTCCTCCTGTTACGAATTCAATACTAGACTTCTTCAAGGCAATCAGTCTCGGTTAAGTAACCGATTTTTACGTCATTATTATTTCGGACAACATAGGCAGTAGGCTGGTAAAAGGAGGTCTCGAGTACCATTTTGATCGCGCTTGAATTCTGAATCATCGCGAGTGCGATTGGAACTATCGTTCGGAATTTCAGAGCGAATGTAGATTTCGAGGAGCCTCAAGAAGGCGCGACGGCGAAATGACAGTAATTTTACATGCCTACGTACTAAGCCGACACAGTGACATCGTGTAACGCATGATTAGCGCTGACGGCGATTACGTCGCAATGCCATTACTAACGGGCAAATTGAGTTTAATGTCGCGACTTGGGCGTTACAGCCTTGGGGCATAAATGATAGAACCAGTGGAGTACTGGCCAGGCCGTATCTATTAAGTCTTTCGGTCTAGGACAAATAATTTTAGAGCATTTTAAGGTAATTGTATCAGCATGCAGCCACCGTCGACCCAGAGACGTGTCAAGTGATGAGATAATGTGACATAAAATTTCCGCTGATATTGATCTTTTCGGCGAGGTCAAAGCATGAAACAACTACAATTTGTCAATTCGTTAGAATGCCTACTAACAATAATAGAACTTAATAAATGTCAAGGTTCGTAATATATAACGATATATTAATGAAATCGTAATAAATGGAACAATGTACACTGTAACATTGTTCAGTTTACAAATATAAAGTAATAAGAGCTAAGACAAGATGTTAGCGTCTAAATGATTTTCATTTTTAAATTTATTGCGAAACATTTACCTCAGCCAGCGTTTGAACCTGGATCTCTCTCTCACCACCCAGATAGCACACATAATTCTATGAATATTCTTCTGGGGTGCAAATAATTTCTCAATATTCGAATCGAATATTCTATAAATATATATAAATTATTACAATTAGAAATTGTAATTTTGGCCATGGGTTTTGGCCCTTTTCAAGTGAATTTTACAACTTCTAGTTGGCGTATGGCATTTGGTCAAATGCCATTAGGCTCACTCGAGTTCGGAGTGTCGCTACAGAGACATTATACTCGTATCTCTCTAGAAACGCGTGATTATACGGGCGCAGAAAAAAGACTGTTTAATAAATTATATTTAATAATGAAAATTCAAGATGTTAATATTGTTAATATTAAAAAATTCTAGAATGAGGAGAAGACGTTTGTCTTGGGAGTTAAAGGCAATGCAAGCTGCATCCATTCGATTAATCAGCCGTCTGCCGTAGAGCGTTTGCCAAAGAACAGTAAGTGTATGTGCGCCACTATTTTTTCATCAATTTCCTCGTTCTGATTCCCTGCCGGAAATAATTGCACAAAATTTTACAAAATGAAATAAAATATATTGCCAGAATCTAAGAAATTCTACGTAAATTTAAAAGTGTTATAAAAATCAACATGAAAATGCTATAATTGGAACACTTTTGTTAATTTTTGTGATATTCTACAAGTAAGCAGATGTTTTAATTCTTTAAGATTTTGTTGTTTCTCAAAGTTTTAAAACTAGCAAAGTTTTGTACCAATTTTTACAAAATTGTACATTTTCATGAAATACTACTTGCAATAATTTCTTAATTTGAGAACACTGTAATTTGTGGTACTATTTCGTACATATTTTTACAAAAAAATTAATGTTTCAACGAAGATATAAAAATTTCTATTTCAAGTCAATTTTTTGTAGCTATTTATAGAAATTTTTCGTTAGGGTTGAGAAAGTATCTTTCAATGTTCTCAACTTTATGTACCTTTTTCATATTTCTACTCTGTACTAAGAAACAGAAATCAGAATTGTATCTATTTCTCACGTGTTAATACCTTTTAACACAGGAGCGACAAAACTGTCGCACTTCACAAGCTGGAGCGAATGGTCGGTGTGCGATCGACACTGCACGCAAAATCGCGTCAGGAGGTGCCGATCGAAGAAAGATTGCGGGACCACTGTACTTAGGGTAAATACGCAAACTGCATAATTATCATAAATGATTTTCGATTAACGATCTGTCGTGACGCAGGAGGAACGTGGTTGCGAACATAACAGAGAAGGTCGCCGAAGGCGATGCAAGCAACGCCAACGTCGGAGACATCGACGAAGAAACGAAAGGTTTCACGTAGTTCAAGTAAGTCGCAATGTGCGACAACGTTGGATCTCCGGTTGCTAATGCGCGCGCGTTTTCAACAGGCACCTAAAGAAGCAGAACCTAGGCATGGAAAGCGGAAAGGCAAGAATGCCAAGGAGCACTCTGGAAAGCACTACGGAAAATGGAGTAAATGGTCGCCTTGCACGAGGCTGTGCACTACCCAACGTCACAGGTGTTACAGAAATTCGTGGATTACGTAACTGATACCGCGACATGTGTACATTATCCTTTTCTTCTGCTCAGATGGTGCAGAAAGCCGGGCATCTGCGGACGCGACGTGATACGTGAGAGCGCCTATTGCTACGTCGAAGGTAGCTTTTGCCAAAGATGGATCCAGCGAAAGATTCGCGGTAGCCACGAAGAAGACGGCGATGGTAAATATATCCTCAACAATGCCGAATGTCGAATGCTAATAAGAAAAGACAAACGATTGGCCAGTTTTATCAATCCTCTAGACTTGGTGCTGGACGAGTTCGAACTCAATCCCAATACCGTGGATAGCTTCGCGCCGGAGAAAAATGTGAACGTTTGGAAATGTGGAGTGGCGAACACTCATAAAGGATCCAGACTATCATACTTCATGCGAATCATCGGCGGACGTCCGGCGGCACCTGGGAGCTGGCCATGGCAAGTGGCGGTGTTAAATCGATTTCGGGTATGTTCGCGACGATAAATCTCGTGTTCTCACAAACTGCAAATAATAGCAAGTCCGAAGAATGCCTTGGAATTATTGGAGAAAAAGAAAGACGTATCGTCTATCGAAGTTAATTGCCTTTCTTTTTCAGGAAGCCTTTTGCGGTGGAACATTGGTATCCCCAAGGTGGGTATTAACTGCCGCGCATTGCATTAGAAAACGCCTCTACGTTCGTATTGGGGAGCACGATTTAACGGAGAAAGAAGGCACAGAATTAGAGCTTAGGGTACGTGTCGCATTCGAGAGCTAGATCGACAATTTCATGCCGCCGCTGATTAATTCTATAACCGTGTAGGTGGACTCGGTGATTATCCACCCGGAGTACGATGCCGATACCGTTGATAACGATGTGGCTCTACTTCGTTTACCAGTTACCTTGACCCCGTCTTCCTCGAGGGGAATCGCGTGTCTGCCTGCACCTAAGCAGCCCTTACCTACGAACCAGTATTGCACCATTATCGGCTGGGGCAAGTCCAGTGTGACAGACGATTTCGGAACGGATGTGCTGCACGAAGTTAAAGTATGCGCTTTCAGGATTAATTAAATGTAACAGTGTGCGTACAATCGTGCAACTGCGTGTTCTAGAGAAATAATACAAACGCAAATTCAATTCCAGGTTCCAATAGTGTCCTCCGAAATCTGCCGAGAGGTCTATGTGGATTACAGAATTACGGATAACATGTTCTGCGCGGGTTATCGCCGCGGTAAGATGGATTCTTGCGCGGGTGATAGCGGGGGACCTCTGCTCTGTAAAGATCCTCGCAAGCCCGATCATCCATGGACAATCTTTGGTATCACCAGTTTCGGCGAAGGCTGCGGCAAACGCGGCAAATTCGGTATATATGCCAGACTGTCCAATTACGTGCGCTGGGTTACGAAGGTGATGAAGCAGACGGACGATTACACTTAGGAAACACAGCGCGTATTATAACTGTAATTAGTGTTCACGCATAAACGAGCATAAAAGTGAAAAATATAGGCAATCAAGATGCAAATTTCAAATTTTATATCGATAGAAAAAAAAATTGCAGAACTATACATTTGAAAGCGCTAAATATAAAGCTAATAATGCTGCAGCCTGTTGTTATATCGCACGTTTTATTTTCTTCAAAAATATTTGTATCGTTTTATATAAGAAGTCAGGAAATAAAATATAATTTTCGCAAAAATTATCGCAGTCGATTATATATTTGTATTCTTCTTTATTTACCGTGTGGTAACGTGGCTTATTGCGTGAGCAGTTGACTTATACTCGGCGGATTCTAGATCCGATTTCGAATTTTATCCCACATATACACTGGTCAAAAAATTAACGCAACAAGAAATTTACATCAAAATTTGGCGAATTTCAAATAAGCGTAACTTCGCGAAAACTGGTCGAATTGAAAAGTTTTTTTTCATTTTATATGGCAAAACCTCTGCTTTAAGAAGCTCTTATTGGAATTTGCATTCACTCTTCCCATTTCCCGGAAGTTTCTCAAAATCATGACCATGTTTTTCTCTAAAAAATTGCACACTTTGACGCACTGTGCGGAGTGTAGTAATTTTTTTCGCCAGTTCTGCTTACGGTATCAAAAAGTGTA